AACCACTGCTTCCGCAGCGTCAACTATGTCAATGTCATCGTGGCCGACAAGCAGGAGCACGTGCAGTTCCTCAACATGGAGGAGGCGATTGAACACTGTACCAAGGGAGTCGGCATCTGGGACTGGGCTAGCAACGATCAGGGCTGTGAGCCCGATGTGGTCATGGCGTCTTGCGGCGATGTCGCTACGCACGAAGCGCTGGCCGCGACGGCTCTGCTGCGCGAGCACCTACCCCAGCTCAAGGTCCGTTTTGTCAACGTTGTGGACCTGTTCCGTCTCATCTCCGACATCAATCATCCGCACGGTATGCCGGACCGCCAATGGGGGGCCATCTTCACCACTGACAAACCCATCATCTTCAACTTTCACTCGTACCCCTGGCTCATCCACCGTCTCACCTACAAGCGGCCGGGTCAGCACAACCTCCACGTGCGGGGCTACAAGGAAAAGGGCAACATCGATACGCCATTTGAGCTGGCTGTACGGAATCAGACCGACCGGTACAGCTTAGCGATCGACGCCATCGACCGTATCCCGTCCCTTGGCAATACCGCCTCGGGAGTGCGGGAGCGTCTGATCAATCTCCAGCTGGCCGCGAAGAACAAGGCGTTTGACGACGGCATCGACCCGGATTATATTCGCAACTGGACCTGGGATTACCCGCGGAAGAAATGTTGAGGCCAAGGGGTATTGTGGCGATCTTTTCTATTTGATACTACCATGTTGAAGACGAGATAATTAATATGCTGCAATGACGAATATTGAGTTACAACGATCTCTTATCTCTCAATGACAACCTGATATTTGTGTTCTAGGCCCTTGACTTTCCATGCTGCGTCATCTATTCTTACTAAAACCCCAAACTGTAGTTACTCTATCACCCATCAGTAGGCGCCCCGCCGAGGCTTCCACCCAGGCTGAGGTGCCGGTACCGGCTTGCGGTATGCAGACAGGATAGGAGTAGAAGCGACAAGCTCCAAACCACCGACCAAAGCTCCTTGAGGCTCGAGCGCCCAAAGTGATACGGCGACATAGTTGACCCCGTTGTAGTTGAGAATACCTTCCGGAACGGGGAAATTGGTTTGTGGGCCGAGATCATTTACTACATCCAGTTAGACACATAGGACAGATTTATTCATCTTCTTATCATACCGTATTTTCCAAACTGGTATCCATTAACAAACAGCTGACAGCGATAGCTCGTCCCTGACCTCGCGTCTGATGCCGAGTTGTTGAACAGGAAGCTCAACGGGATATCGTATCCCTCGGGTAGATCCAAGGAGAACGAAGTAGCATAGAATCCAATACCAGCGCCAGTGAGCCCATCATTGATCGGGCTGGATGATTTCCAGCTGGAGGTAGGCGGATTTGGAAGATGATATCCCCGGCGCTCGGCATACATGGCTCCCTCGTTGAGCGGACCTCGCGTCGAGTCCTGGTACTGCTCGCCGCCGAGGTTGCCAGTCATCTTCCATTTAAGATCGGAAACTTCATGGCCGGAGAGCGCGTAGTCGAGAATTCCTCGAGGGAACTTGATTGCGTCTGTCCCCGGTGCCTCTTCGTCCTGGCCCATGTGGTCGATCACCACGGTGAAAACGTATGGTTTCCCAGGAGACAGCTCGTGGGGGAGAGAGATGTTTCTGGGGTAGGTCATGTTGTTTCCACTGCCTGTCCATGAACCCAGGAATGTTTGGTTCAGCCATACCGAATTGGCGAAGCCCACGCCGCCAGAGGTGTTGAGGAAAACCCATGACTCGTCTCCGTTGGCCTTGAAGTGGCCCCGGTAGATCAGTGAGCCCCCGTGATAGCCGTAGTCGTCGGCGTACAGACATGTAGGGCCAGTGAACTTCCGCGTGTTATTGGTGTATGTGTTTGTCAGTGACATCCAGCCCTCGTCGCTATAATCCGGGGAGATTTCGGGGAGAGAATCGAGGTATTTCCAGTCGAGACGCTTCAGATCTGGCAGAGAGATAGCTGGTGGTTGATAGCGAACTGTTGCAGCGAGATTGCCAATCTTAGATCGTGTCGACTTCAAGGACTGGCCGTTGAAGACAATCCCATCAAATCGCTTCGGCGCTGAAATTACCTCCAAGGGAGTCGTTGCGTTCACATCACCAGTCAAATGCAGCTTATTGTTAGTAATACATGCACTTCGAAGCAAATATCCTCCCTTCACTAACACCGTCTCCTTGGATGGCGAGCTATAGTTAGCAATTGGTTGTTTTGCAGGTAGTTCCAAGACCCAGTGCTGGTAGGCGTCGTTACGCCAGAGGAGGTGAATCTCAAGCTTTCCTGCACGTAAAACCCGTCTTTGAGCAGTTACCTCCCATTGTACAACCCAGGCGCTTCCCTTTTTGGCCATCTTGACGTCGGACCCGTCAACAACGGTTGGTCGGGGAAGATGTTTTGGCAGCGCGAACTCATGTAGTTCCCCTGCTCCTCCATACAGCACGAGAACACGCTTCTTGTTGTCTCCCTTCGCCCAAGTGAAGATCTCTGCAGAAGAGTAGATGAGATTGAATTCGCCCACATCGTAGTCCGTGACGTGGAATTTGGAGTCTCGGCCGTTCAAGGACAGACTGCCTCCCAGTTGAGGAATTGTCACATTTCCAACGCTCGTGGAAACACTGAGTTGGTATTGGACACTTCCAGTCGAAGTAAAGTCGGCATGCCGGACTAGATAGAAATTGGTGGTCGTTCCATTGCCAAACAACGGAGTGACTGCTATATCCTTGTTCCCTGTGTATGATCCATTAACCCCGTTTCCAGGCGTTGCGGTGAGGTACGCAGGAGACACTTTCAGAAAGTTGGCCTGTAGCTTCTCTTCGCTATACTTTTCTCGCCAGATCTGACGATCCTCGGTGATGGCAGCCCCATAGTCATACGAGGTGTATCCTCCATGGTAACCGAGATTGCCCCAATTGGTGCCTCCGTACGTCTACGCAGTCAGTTAGGAGCGGAGGTAAGGAGGGGAGGGAGCATATCACACCATGTAGATGTTGAAAACTCCGACGCCGAAGCCGTAATTGTTCTTGTACACCACTCGCACAGCTTCATTGTTGACGAGAATGGCACACCCGTCTTCGGTGACTCCTCCCCTGGTGATTATGTTAGTCATTGCGTTGATGGGATCAGTATCCATGGTATCTCTTACCACCCATCTCCTGAACCCCCTTGGAATTCCATAATAGCGAATGGCGTCGTAGGGCTGTGATTGCGGTGTGTGTGCTGCCAATCTCGCGGGAATCGATATGTTGGCCATACGTAGGGGTTGCCACCTGATTCTGCATCAGATACAATCGTCGGCTCCTGAAAAGAAGGGTCTCACAGTCATATCTCATAGGATAAGCGTCAATCCCGTAGAGATCCGTCTCGCCCAGTCCAGTCCCAGGGGCAAAGTATCCCAGGTTCTTATTGTCATTTACAACTGTTGGAACGACTACTCCAGCGTCTCGAAGCTGCTTCTCCGCATAGGCCATGACTTCCTTATTCATAGTTGTCGGAAACTCGGACTCTGAAACGTTGGGCCAAGTCGTGTACTCGTTTTCTGGCTGAACTAAGATCACCGGCCCTCCATTGGTAATTTGTGCCTTGGCAATTATCTTCCCTAGAGTGGCCATGTACGTATCTGTCGCACGGAGGTAATCCTCGCTGTTTGAGCGGATGATGCCTTTTAGACGGAGAACCCATCCGGGAATACCACCAGCCGAGGTTTCCGCATTGATATACGGCCCAGGCCGAGCGATCAGGTAGATACCAGCTTCACTTGCAGCAGTGAAAAACTCGTCAAGGCTCCAGATACCGTCAGTCACAACGTGGCCAGGATTACCCTCCATGAGACCCCAGTCAGTATAGAAGGAGACAGCATTGAATCCCAGACTCGTAATCTTTTGAAAGACATCAAACCAGAGTCCAGGAACTGGCAGTCGAAAGGGGTGAAACTCTCCAGAAAAGATCATGAGCCGCTCGCCCCGAACAAACAAGGAGTGTTGGTCCCATGTCACTAGGTCTTGAAGAAGCTCTCGCCTATTCGCAGCATCTTGCAATGAAAGGTGGCTGACGGATGGTGCAGCTACTACCGAAGAAGCGGCGGCCAATGCGATGAATCTCCTTAAAAGGAACTTCATCCTGCCCTTCGCACCAGCAATGTATTTTCTTCTATTTATTCCGCCAAAAGAACAACGATCACTCCTGCGGGAACTTATCGCAGAATTATATACGCTCTGTACCCCCCGCAGCGTGCTCCGGCGGGTGCGGAGAATATCTATTGGAAGGAAACGGAATCCCACCGATTCCCCCTTCGCATTATGTATTATTTTCGATCTCCTATGATGATGTAGATCTTATCAGGGGACAAGTCCGTAACCATTGGGGAACCTCAACACAGGTCCTTGCCCCAGATTGGTGGAGAAACGATCAACGTGCGGGGGACTCGAGAGGCATGGATTTAGCTATTTAGCCTGAATGCTTTCAACATTGAGCGCGGAGAGAGCCCGATGTTTTCCTAGGATCCAATCGAGGCAAAACATGTTTCTGACCGTTCATTCTTTTCACTTTGATGGCTGCAGTCAAAAGTGTTTCTCTGCCTAGGATAGCCTTCGCTTGGCCAGCTGGGACAACGGCATTTTTTGACGCCTATTTACGGACACCTGGCAGGGGTTATGCTAACACCACAGAGAGTGCCATGAGTGTGCTTGCACCTGCTCAGCGTCAATCTGGTCATCACGCAGTCTGTGACGAGACCGTTGACTCTTATAAGGGCTGGCGGTGATGGGGACTGAGGCACCTGTATGAGATACGGAGCATCTTGATAACACTCAGGGAGAGAAGGCAGGTGGTGTACGAATGCCCTCTAGACCATTGACATCTACAGCCCATGCAACCGCAGTCTTACCCTCTAAATCCTGTGCCAAGGGATCCGCGTGAAAATCGATCACTCAACACGCGAACCATCTGCCGGTATTTCCTTCGGATAGCCAAATGAAGCACTGGTCACGGAGTCAGGTTCCTCTCACCGTCTGCGGGTTGATATCGTTAGTATTTGCCACCTTCCTTCTCTTCTCCAGGAGAGCCAGCATATCGATACGTTGGTTGCACACAGCAGCAAACAGGGCATCGGTTCCTGCGATGGTAGCTCCATGATCCAATAGGAGCTCCATCATGGCGCATGATCCTTTACCCGCCACTGCCACTACTGCGCTGCGATAGTTGATCTGGCATTCGTTGGGGTCAACTCCTTTAGCGAGTAAAAACGAGGCCAGTCGGATATTGTCACTCAGAATGGCCCATGCCAGCGGCGCTCCCAGATGGCCTAGTTGCATGGTTGGAAGCGAGGGATCGTGACGACAGAGCAGCTCAAACGCTGGGACTCGTTCGGAGGTCAGTGTTTCGAGGATGACTGCTCGGTCTAAAGTTCCTAGTGGCTTATTTTTCCCTTTTCCGTTGTTGTCTTCATCTTTGTCCTTTGGAAATAGTTGAGTAAGCAGATATTGTAGCACATTTAGCTGCATTGCTTGAATTGCAGTTTGGAGGAGTATGGCTGTTGGTGGGATCTGGTGGTGTTGTAGAGCGATTTCAATGGTAGGAATTAATTCAGTGAGATTTCCATCCGTGATGAGGGTGATTATCTTTTTCTGATTATCATCCATTGTGAAAGCAAGTTCGTGGGATTGGATGTTGGAATCCTGAACCATAGTTAGAGCTAAACTGCTGTAATTTCAAGTCTAAATTCTAGAAATCAGAACTAAACCTAATCTATTCTAATTTAGTATAAGTTTAACTATAAAACTTGAAGCTTGGCATAGCTAAACTATTTCTAGCTAAGTTATATTACTTACTAACTAACCATAGTTAGATTTAGTAAGGTTTTAGTTTAGATAAACTACTATTTAAAACTAATATTTTGCAATGAAAAGATGCTATAATATCTCCTTATATATTAATTATTTTAATTTAAAATATTATTTATATAAGAATATATATATCAAGGATTCATCCTAACTTAATAAGTAATAGATTTAAGCTATATTAGGTAACTTTATAGTTTATAGTTTATATCTTAAAACATGATAAAATACATGTATATATATATAAACATTATAACTATTCTACATATAATGGTGTAGAGTTGCATAACCGAACCGCAAAAATCGAACCCAACCCTCACCGAACTCGCAGCGGTGCGGGTTCGGGGGTAAGCCTAGGGAATCGCTTCGGGTTCGGTTTCTATACCCCGGAACCGTTTCGGGTTCGGTTAAAACCGTACGGTTATTTCTTGCTTACTAATACCTAATTCCTAGGATTTAGCTAATAACTTTTATATTACTAGATAGCCTAGATTCAGGGCTATCTGGTGAATATAATGATCGATTCAAATCAAAATACCTAGTGGTTGCTAAGATATTAAGGAATGATCACTTTTGTCATGAGTTGGTATGAAAGTGGTGTGGATATATATATATAAGGGCACCAAGGTCTGATAACCACCATGGTTTAGATATATTTTTAACCACCACCCATTCAGACCTATAGATATTGAATTGATATTTTAAATATAGCTTAGTATGATGATAATTACTATATATTTCATATAAAAATTATAATTTTATATAAGCATGCTTGATAGGCTGAGAGAATAGGCCTAAGGTAGGAGAAATTGAATTCTGAAAACCATTGAAATTTTGGTTATTGCCTAGGCATACCGCTGGCCTAGATAGGTTAGTAGGGGCCTAGCTATACCTAGCTAGGCATAGTGGTGGGTTTTTGCGGTGAAACCGCAACCAAATCGCACCGGGTCCGGGGGGGTTGCGAGTTCTAAAATTTGAACCCGAAACCGCAGCGGTTCGGGGCCAACTAGGCTGGAACCCGCCCAAACCCGCACCAAATGCAACTCTAAGTAAACTAAAGTAATAGCTTATATAAATACTTAGTATTAAGCTTGCTTAGATTAGGCATATTCTCTCTATACTTAAATATTCTAAGTTTAAGAGATTATTTAAGGACTACTGTCACGGGCTAGAAGCCTTAGAAACCTATGACCTAGGTTTGGATGGTAAGAAATCACTAAAGGAGAAATCTAGCTAGGGCTGTGGTGGCTAAATATAAAAAGAAGTATATAAGTAGTTTATGAGTTACATAATAAAATAGATTACTATATTAATTAATATGAAGTTATGTGACCTACAGCTAGTAACGTAATTCCCGGCCAAGCGAGACACCCGGCCAAGCGAGACACCCAAACCCATTAGAAAATTTCAAAATCGATTATCTCAACCAACACCTATGAATTTAGCTAAATATAGCGATTTTTACATGAATTGATCCTGTGGCCAATCTCCCTACACCCACTACACCTAGGCGGAGCCCTCTTCGCTGGTTGATCTGCCTGAATAGGCAATTCACCCTGCCCATGCGATTCTACCGCAGGTGCTTCTGCTGGCAAATCTGGCTGTAAAACTAGCTGTAGACCCTCTTCAACGGTTAAACCCTCTTCGCAGGGTATCTGCCTAGTTGACCGACTGCGCTTCTTCACCACCTTCTCATTTGCTGCGCGTAGATTCGCATTTTCTTGCGCTAGTAGCGCGGTGTTATGTAGCGCTATACAGTGGCCCTTGATAATCTGATCTAGTATGGTTTTTGATGGGCTCGGAGGGCTATTTGACCGCTGTTTCAGTAGGTTTTTGAGCATAGAAGCTTGCTTCTCTAGCTGAATCACAGTTCTGGGTGTTTTTGGTGTGAATTGGCTAGACCTGCTATTTGGCCGGCTGCTTGGTGGTGTAGGCGTTTGTAGAGAGATATTAAGCTTTGAAAGCACTCTTTCTGCATCAACTGGTACTAGGCCACTAGCTGCAAAGCTATTCTGAATAATAGCTGGCTGTTGGAAGGCCTCTAGCCGCGCACATTGGTAGTTATCCAAGAAATCCAACTTGTCAATATGGTTATATCCTCTCCGCGCAAGATCACTTATAAAGCGACCGTACGCGCGCTTAAGCACTGCAAAGCACCCAACATCAAGCGGTTGTAGTAGGTGCGATGAATGTGAAGGCATACAAAGAGGAATAATATTGTTTTCTGCGCAGATCCGGTCGAATTTGGGTGTAAGATGACTCCCATGGCCGTCAAGAATCAACAGCTGAAACCGGCCTCGTACACGCAAATTTGTGTGTGGGATAAAGTGCTTTTGTAGCCAGCGAAGGCCTATCTCATCAGTAGTCCAGCCATTATTTGAGACCTCAAACCGCCAGTCTTTTGGTAGGTTATCAAACCAACCCGCAATAGCAACTTTGCCCTTGAATATCACACATGGCGGTAGTGAATAGCCATCTGCGCAGATTGCCTCGATAGCAGTAACCCATTCACGATTTCCTGGCTGTAATATTGAGCGCCGACCATAGTATTCAGCTCGAGTAACCACCTTCTGCGCTGAAATAAGACCCATTGCAAATCCTGTCTCATCAAAGTTGTAAATATCCTCTGGTTGGATACCGTTCTCATTAATAATGCATTGTACAGTTGCAAACCACTCTCATAGTGATTTTGGGTCTTCATTTAGGGCACGCCGGTAATCATAACGTCTTGAAAAGCGTGTACGAAGCTCATCACGTCGCTTAATAAAGGCTGATGGCCAATTCTTGCCTACAGTAGGCGAAGGGTTGGTTCCGCGCGCAGCAAGAAGGATATTAGCCATTTCTGCTACAGTAGCAGGTCTAGGCGCTGCTCCACGCGTATCCATAGAGATAATCCACTCAGTAAGCGAATCCTCTTCTAATTTAGTCAATTTATGACCAGGGGGGCGTTGATCAACGCGTGGAAGGCGTCCCTGGGCGTGGTGGTGTAGTGTAGCAGGCGGTATCTCATATAACTTCGCTGCTGCACGGAGAGATTTGATGCGGCCATTTTTAATATCATCAAGAGCTAATAAGATCCTGCCCTCCTGATTGGCCGATTTCTGTTGAGATTCAGAGCGAATTGGTGGCATGGTAGGTGGTTGAAGTTGTTATGTAGGTAGGAAGACGCGATTTTGGATGGGGTGTCTCGCTTGGCCGGGTGTCTCGCTTGGCCGGGTGTCTCGCTTGGCCGGGAATTACGTTATCTAGTCTAGATATAACTTTATAAGGGCTAAATAGCCTAAGCACCTAGCAGGCCCTGCCTACTATACTACCCTCCTCCTCCCTCTTAGGGGTGGTAGTTCTCCTAAGTATGAAGTGTCAAGGTGCAGGCTCGCAGGCAAGCAGGGGTGGGTTAAAGAGGTAGTTGACACTCAGGCTGGCTATACTAATCCTTATCTAACAGTCCCAGGCTGCAGGTAGGCTGGTACATGCAGGCTCTATAGACAGGATGTAGCTCAAAGAGCTTTAAACAGGTTTTGGAATTGTGCAGTGAAGATATTCCCAAGGTCATGTGATTCCTCCTCAGCAATGCCAACTCCTATTCACAGCAGCACCATGACATGAAGTACTGCTATATCAGCAAGATTAATAGCAGGCTCCTATATAGGGTGTTTATAACCCACCTATTTAACTAAGTATTCTGTATAGCAGTCTTACCTAATTTACTTCTTATACTTATCTAGGATCTCTTTAACTATATATTTAGCTTTGCCATTCATAAGCCTCAGGGGTGGCTGATAATCATTATTTAACTAACTTAGGAATAGATTATCTATAGTAGGCTATAAGAGGAGTATTTATTATAACTAACTATAGTAGATATATAGGAGGTATAGTAGATATAGTACTTATACTCCCTAATATACTATAGCTCCTCTTCCTAAATAGCCATCTAATAGCCTAGATAAAGCACATGCTAATAAGGCACTAAACCCTTAATCAGGTTACTATAATAACTATAGTACCTAATTAGTAATATTAATAGGACTTAGGAGAGAAGAATTAGATAAAGATAAAGATATACCATTAGTAATAGTAGTAGTGGTAGACTAGATACTAAGTATAAAGAGGTAGATTATATATAGATATATAATAGGAGAGATTATATTTTAATAAAGCTAAGTTAGACTAGGAGATTTAGAGAGTAGTAATAATATTAGTAACTAATCTTATATATAATAAAGATAATATAGTAATACAGAGACTATAGAAACCTATAGTAGATAGTTGTCACGGTGCTGCTGTGAATAGGAGTTGGCATTACTAAGGAGGAATCATGTGACCTTGGGAATATCTTCACTGCACAATTCTGAAACCTGTTTAAAGCTCTTTGAGCTATGTCCTGTCTATAGAGTCTGCCTGTACCAGCCTCCCTGCAGCCTGGGACTGTTAGATAAGGATTAGTGTAGCCAGCCTGAGTGTCAACTGTCGAGAGCCTAATGGGGCCTCTCTTCAGAGGCTCGCTCCCTGCCCGATTAGATATAGCTTCAAGTCACGTGACCCGCTGCGTAGATACCTTCGCTTCTTCCGCTGCCCCTTTCTAGATAGTGATCTAATACAATCATTTCCCTACGATTCGGCTCCACAGTAGGCTTGAAAGGTTATGAGCCCTTGTTCTGTCTTCAGAGAGATGCTTAACACCATCTCCTAAGGTCTGAGCTACCAATTCCTCCGTTTCGCGCGGCAATCGCACGAAAATTCGAAAATCCTATTGTGAAGCCATACAAACCTGAAAGACTGTGCCAGGGACCTACAAAGGCCAGGACAGATCAATATAACGTAGAATCCGCAGGCAGAAGCCGCCA